TGTGAACATCGAACAAACTGATTTTTTAATTAATTGGAATGGATGTCTCACGTATAAGTACCACTCTGCTGTAATTTTCATGAGTTCTTGTAATGGTCGTTTGAGGTCAAGCAACGATTTAAGTTTGAGGGAGTTTGATCAGCGGTTTTTACACAAATATTTAACAGTTATTTTAGTTATCATTTCTTTTACTTATAGAGTTTTTATTTCGTTTTATCGCATATTATGTTTTGGTTTTGTGTTTTAGTGTTTTTAGGTTCAAAAGAATAAAATAGGACAAATCGGGGCGGAAAAAGTGCATAATTTAAAGTTTCGGAGGAAATGCTACAAGAGTCCTGACACGGATGGTCGTGTCACCTGACACGGGCCATGTCGGGAGGAAGACATGGAAAGCATGGAAAATAGACCCTGACACGGGTGGTCGTATCGCCTGACAAGGGCCGTGTCAGGGAGAAGACTTGGACAGCGTGGAAAACAGGGGCTGACACTGGAGGTTGTGTCGCCTGACACGGGTTGTGTCATCATGCCTGAGTCAGAAAATAAATTATCAGAAGGCCAACACGGGCGTCCGTGTCACATGACACGGACTGTGTTGGCCATTGACGCTGATTTTTAGTGCTTTCATGATTTTTCACTATTTGGAACCCAGAGGAGCGTTTTGGGAATTTCCGACCAACACAAATTGATTGTTCACTATTTAACCAAGTTTTGAAGAAGAATTAAGGAATTTTTTGCAGTGAATAATAGTTTTCGTGACTGAATATTGGAGAAGTCAAGGTTTTTGGAGAGCGGGAGATTTTTAGGCGCGGAAGCAATTAAAGATCAAAGTTCATCCCAATCCTTGTAATATCTATATTTTGTCTTGTGATTATTATGAACAATATGAGTAGATAAACCCCTCAATGCTAGGGCTGTCCCTGATTTAAATCTGTAATGATTATGAATTTCTGAGTTCTTTAATAAAGTATTCTCTATTCGATTTAATTGTACAATGTTTGTATGTCTTGCTGATCCAAAAAATTAGGATTGATTTACGGTTAACAACCAGCTGGACTGCGGTTGTTAAGGGTTTTTGTATAATTAGGCTATATTAAATATCACCTAGGACTAGGGATATCCTATAGTTATCAGATTTAACCCTTGATAAAATAAAGGCCTGACTCCATCAGATATCTCTAAGGACTTAGGATTTAAGATGGATGGTTAAATATTTCCCACTAAGGACTTAGGGGAAGATAATTTAAAGGGCTGATAATTAAAGGATATGAACTTGTTGAAGAGATCAGGATTCAAGATAGTTACAGGACAAATTATACACGTTATCCTAGCATGCTCCTTATATCTGTGAAAATTCCATTTTATATTTATGCTTTTTGTTAAGTGACAATATCAAAACCAAAATCCCAAATTAAATTTTTGTTTAATTAAACTACGAATTTAACTCAATAATTACAAGCAATATTTGAGATCGATATCTTGCGAATTTCCCATTATTACTGCAAGCAAAAATAATACACTTGCTATTTTTTCTATCACCCTCCTTCTGAGCTTTGGACAAGTCATTCGTCCCTTCTTCTGACCTTGTGACTTGTCTATTTCATAACACGGCACAACATGATGCACATATTATCAATGCAAAAACAACAACAACATTTTTATGATTCCATTTCTAACCATAAACATCATGCAAAATAGCATTAACATAGTTTCCCCTTATGAACTACCACCACAACACAATAATCACAATTATGTACACGTCGCATAATTATTCACTAAAAGACACAACTCATATGACTAGTAACCATCAAGCCATAATAATCATATCATTATTCAACAATAATCCTTTAAAACACATCACAAGTAAACATACTACTCATATTTTCATGTACATATAAAACCTCAAAATAATCATAATAAAATAGTATTTCACGTTAGCTACCCAACGCTTCGAACTGCATCTCAAACGGAGTCACAAAACTCAAGTTACGCACAAAATGATTTCACAATACAAAATTCAGGGAGCTGCTACGGCCGCCCGTAGCAGTGCCCAGAACCCAAAAACATTGTATTGTGATTTCCCCCATTGGAGCACTTCCGGAGCTCCGATTTCGATTCCTTAAAAACTAGAACGATCAAAATTTATTATACAATAATTGTAACATGATTTTCATATCAAACAACATCAAATATACATATTATACATAATTAAACAACACCTAATCATCATTTAACATATCAAAATCAACACTTTTCAATAGCTTAAGGTTATATATCCAAAGCTTCAAGAACACAATAATGGTAATACACAGTTCAGATTTTAATCATACAAATATATAAAATTAGCATATTGGGGAGCACGGAATTCTTACATTGACATAGCATATGACATGAGTTTCCTCGTACACACACCAAACATTCATGACCAATATCTATAGCAAAACAATCCCTAGAGGAGAGTGATGTTCCCTTTCTACCATTCATAAATCACACATATATCCAAGTAGTTTCTCCCTGTTATATGAATTTCCAGCAAAAAAATTTCAACAATGGTGATTTCCATTTTCTTCTCCAAAGCCCTGGTCTCTTTTAAGTCTTTGTCTCCTTTTCTCCTAAACTCAATTTCACGACCAGTGAAAACTCAACTTCTCACTTCTCCCTTTTTAATAAACTATTTCCCCATTTAAGTAATTCATATTCTATCTTCAGTTATCTCTTCAATCCCCACTTTACCCTTACTACCTTATTTTTCTATTTATTTTATAATTAAGTCTAATTTTCACCAAAATAATATTAATCAATTATTATTTATAATTTCCTTACTTTTCTAATATTTCTACCAATTTAATTATCCTCCTCATTATAAAAAAATAATTAAAATTCTAATTAATTCTACTACTCTCACCAACCCAACGATGTGTCATATACTACACACATATTCATCAAAAATCAACTAAAAACATATAATTCATCTAATAATTAAATAAAATACAACTAAATTCAATTAAAGAAATTAATTGAATTCATGGTATTACAAATATCATCTAATTTTTTTCCAAAATTTTATCCCAAAGATGCATCTCCGGGAAAATCCCATCAACTTATTGATTATTGAGCATTCTGGGTAAGAGGACAAAGTGATTATGGAAATAGATATTTGGAACATCCTTTGGCACAAGATATAATTTTTAAGGTCCATGTTTATCCATAAATACTATAAGTATGGGCTCTTGTCTCATGTTTCACACAAAAAAAATATTATACTAGAATGAATATCAATTGACAAGTCACAAATTTTTACTTTAACGGCGTGAAAACCTCAATTGAATTTAAGATCAATGGTACACCACTCTTGCAGATCTGAAATACATACTACAAAATCTCCTACCATACTCCGACATTCAAAAAATTGTGAAACTCGAGTATCGACCATCGATTGACAATGAAGGGAAGATGAGTTCAACAACTTTGAGTTGAAGACGAGTGCAAATTTAAGAGCTATGTGGAATACTTCTTTTCGTTTCAAAACAAAATTTTTGATTGAGGTGGATGCGACAATTTTGAGATCGGTTGAAAATATTATGAAGGTGCTGGAACGTCTACCTAAATATTCAAATGTAATGTTTAATTTATGTCAATATAATATTTTGTTTTTTATTCTATCAATACTAATTTTAATTTGTCAAACAACATCTTCCTGATTCTCTGATTTGTTCTACTTCATAATATTCTAGAAATACACTATCGTAAGACCAATATTCTAGAAATACACTATCGTAAGACTTGCTTCAGAATATTCTAAAAATACTTACAGAGATACATCTCTAAAACCACATATACACAAAGATGAAGCATGACTCAATCAACATGAATTATGTGGGTGTGAAATGTGCCCAAAGATGTATATATGATTTTTAAGAATATTTTGAATTTTTCACAATAATGAATTCCTTAAATAATCCCCTTACTTTTAATAAAATGTAATAAATACCGACTTAACAATAATTGTTCAAGTGACATAATTATTGTCTCAGTTGACATAAAAAGATTCTCAAATTATCTTTATATTGTTGCTTTCTTCAATAGCAATCAAAATAAACATCTAATTAAAAGAGGGTAGGGATTTTTTTCTATTAGTAATGGTTTGATTATAAAAATCAAATTACACAAAATACATATTATCAACTTCAAGCATATATGCGTTTATACATTTAAACAAACTTCTCTCCGTTTTCCAAAACTCTCTACTCATCTTTTAAGAAATGAAAGAAACCTAACTCATCTTTTAGAATCAAGTTTGTCTCGTCCTAAAGTAAAACCATAAACACATTAAGGTGAACACAGTTTCTGTTGATAAATCATTTCGTGCGGACGAGTTATAACGTCAATTAAACTACCCACTACAATTCAAAAAACTCCATGATATGAAATTGGACTAGTTGAAGACATAAATATTGTTTACTCTATCATAAAAGTCAAACCACTTTCGATTCTTTTTGGGTGGGGCACAAAAGAATAAAATGAGGCATGGTGATCAATCTTCAAAGTCTAAATTATTATTTTTCTTAAAGTCTAAATCATTTTCTTTATTCTTTTATTTTTGTGTGGATGTAAACTTTTAATAATAAGAATTGTTGAACATTCAGTGTGCTGTTTAATGTTATGTATAATATAACCAATGCACACTGTGCATTCTCTACAATCAGAGTGTCTTACTTGGTCCGTATCAGAGGGGGAAAAGAACAATAGTACTACTTACACAAATCACAACACACAAGATATAGCTTTTGTTAAATAAATAGTAACAATGCTTATAATAAAACTTCTAAAATACAGAATGAATAAAAGAAGAATATAAGCAAAACTTCTTATAATCAAAAGTACATACAGAAACCTACAACCGGATTTAGGCTGCGTCTACAAAGCAAGTAGTATTCAGTATCATAGACAGGTTGCATGGCTACAAAAGGTTATGCTTTGACTTCAGTTCCCTTGCAGATTGGATGCACCGAGAAGAACACAGGCACAAAAATATATCGACTAGAATTAACCAATCACAATACAAGACAAAGCAAAGATTTTATGGAGTCATGATACTCAGATGCTTGGTCCTTCATTTTTCTCCAGTTTTGATAGAGTTTCAAGAGAATCAGGATTTCAAGGAACAAAGAGCATGTAACATTTGGCTTTCTATGTATATAGTTGCATTACAAAATTTCCATGTGGATTTAAACCTTAAAGGTAGGAGTTTATTCCACTCGTTAAAAGTTCAGTGTTCAAAAAATTGCTGTACTACATCAGCTACAGATATCATTGTAACACTAACATACAATCCATCATCATGCTGCTTGCTTTACACTGTTTGTACTTTTAATTCACAACACATGTCATAACAGAAAAATAGATTTTCTTACAAATAGTCTCGTCACTGCAGACTTTCCGCATGATGTTCCGCAAGTAAAATATAAGTTGAGAAACACAAATGGAAACATCAGACGTTCCAGAAGATGTTCTGCAAATAAAATATAAGTTGAACAGCACAAATGGAAACATCAGACATTCCAGAAGATGTTCTGCAAATAAAATACAAGTTGAACGGCACAAATGGAAACATCAGATGATGTTCCTTGAGAAAATATAAGTTAAACAACACAAATGGAAACAGTGATTCCGAGAATATGGTGTACCTGAAATTCATCAAGCTCAAGGAAACTGTATGGAGAAACCGGTGTCAGTTCTGGTGAAATTCATAGGGCCAAAGTCATCGAAATCAGAATCAGAACCCATGTCATTGTAATCCTGCCACCCACCAATAGAATCCTCATCTTCTGTATTTCTAGTCAGAGGAACTCGCAACTCAGAAATGGGAACAGGAAGAGGTTCTTCGTTAAAGTACTTGTCCTGGAGTAGCTCCATTGCTGTAGCCCTCCTAGCCGGATCATAACAAACCAGGTTTTTGACAAGAGATACTTCATCGGCTGAGCGGTTGGGCAGGCAGGATTCAACACCAGGAGGGTTTTCTACCTTGCTAAACGAGATTATTCTGTAATCAGGAAGTTCTGAGCAGCCAGGCCAAGCTCTCTCATCAAGGTTGCCCAAAACATTAATAATTTTGCTGAGCTGGTCAATATCAGCCGTTCCAGGAAACAAGGGTTTCAGAGTCACGAGCTCTGCAAAAATACAGCCAAGTGACCAGAGATCAATTTCTAAACCATAGTTTATGGATCCGTAAAGCAACTCAGGAGCCCGGAACCAACGACTTCCAACACATGATGTTAAACCACCATGTTCTTTATCTTCCTGCTCCATTGCTTCATAACTAAAAGAAGTTCTCATAGGATCATTATCCATATCACTTGTTGTGCACGTTGCAAGACAAGAAGTATTTCCGTCTGGAATGCTTGAATCCTTTTCAATGTCATCCACAAATCTCTTTGTTTTCAGCTCATCTAAAACACTAAAATACTCATTATGACTGCTTCCCTGCTCTTGATTTCCACATCCAAATTGACTTAAGTTGTCGGTGAGAGGGAAAACTTCAGGATGATGAAGTGAACTTTCATGATTAGAACCATCATGCTCACTCGGTGGATGATTCCCTTCAAAAGCATCAAATCCAGGTTCTGTGAGTATCCTGGCCTGAGAAAATTAGTCAGAAACATTTCATTCCAGACAAAAACCAAATGCACACTCCTTTGGATGCAATTGCAAAATATTCCTTCAACTTAAACTCAAACACAACATTCGGAATTTATAGCCTAAAATCACGATAAATAAGCTCCTGGTCTTAGATAACCCCCTAATAATCATAATAAAAAATAAACGTCCCCAAACTAAATATTACTACCTCTGGTCTCTAATAGAAGAAAAAATCACAAAAAACACCACGACCTAGGAGCTCAATTAATTAATCTTATAAATTTGAAATCTTATCACAAATATACCCATAGCATTAAATGTTCTATGCCACTAAGCGAGTTTCTAGAAAAATCCATTCTATTTGCCGCGCAATCGCAGTGTGGAGTAAGTAGAATTTTGGTGCCCTGCCTTTATGCAAGCAAGGGCAGCTATTGCAGCCACAAATCGAGTTTCTAGTAAAATCTATGCTATTTACCGTTCAATCAGTGTGGAGTAAGTAGAATTTTGGTGCCCTGCCTTTACGCATGCAAGGGAAGCAAATCGAGCTGAAATCACATCATCACACTCACTACAGGACCACGCCGCCACAAATCAAGTTTACTATGAAAATCGATGTTTCTCAGGCTTGAGAATGATAATCTCAGATATAACAGAAAAAAGGTTGTGCTGTTGCTATGATATCGGTCCATATTTGTCATGTGACTCTTCTGTTTTCGATTCATAATTTCCAGCATTTCTCTTTTAGTAAACATATACACCACATTAAATATGGAAATAAAAAGAATCCTAGCAATTAATGCATATTAAAACGAGTTTCTTTTTCTTGTCATTAGAAAAAAATTACACCCAAACTTTTATTATAATAAACATAGAAGGGTAGTACTCACTCCATAATGATTTATAAGCAAATTTGACTTTTTTGATACATTTGACAATTAATGTATCTAGTCCATATATAGACTAGATAGATTAATTGTCAAATGTACCCAAAAAAAAAGTCAAATTTGCTTATAAATCGTTATGGAGAGAGTATATCCTAACAACTAATATTCTCTCCTTTTACAATTCATGTAATTTAATGAAAGATAAGTAGTAATAATTTTATAAAATCAACCAATTCTACATATCATAATTTATGTCTTATCATCTTAAGGTATGTTGGATTGATGGAATATGATGGAACAGAGCGGTATTGGATGGAATGCATTCCATCATTTTTCATCATTTTTTGTACTTCCAATTTGGGCGGAATGACAAAGTGATATATTACATCATGACATATCCAAACAATAGAATGGTATTTTTATTTCACTCCGCTACGTTCCATCCCGCTCCGCTCCATTCTGCTCCGTTCTTTTTTACGTATCCAAACATAGCTCAAGTGATTTACATTGTGGGAAGAAGCGAGTAATAACTAATCTTTTACTCCTTCTGTCTCATAATAAATGTGAACAATGCCCGGCTCTTAAGAAAATGATTATATGCGTTGGTTTTAGTGAAAAAAATTAAGGTCATTTACTAGAGTACCCTTATTAATTGTAGTTAATAGAGTAGTTGAAGTAAAAGTTAATAAATAGGGGTATAGTAGTGAAAAAATAATAACAAAAAATACATTGGAATTGTAAATTGACAATTACTTTAAGACAAAGAAAAAGTACAAATGAGAGAAGGAGGGAGTAACTTTTTTCAAAATAAAATAAAATAAACTCCTAATCCTAAACAAACCCCTAACAAATAATCTTACAACTCTAGCATTAAGCTGCTCAGATAATATATGATCTTAACATAATGTAGTGTTAGATTGATGGTTGAAAAACCAAATGAAATGAGGATAATTAGGGAAAATAGGTTTACCTGTCCAAAATCAGCCAATTTAAGAACACCACTATCAGAAATCAAGAGATTAGCAGGTTTCAAATCACGATGAACAATCATATTCCGATGACACGCATCCAGACCAGAAAGAATCTGAACCATCCACCGTTTCATCTCACCAACAGGTAGCGGAAAACCTTCCTTAGCAGCATTTGAAATAACCGTAGCCAAATCGGTGACGAGATACTCGAGAACAAGAACCGCGTCTTCATCTTCACGCCAGAAGTACTCATGCATGACGATGATGTTCTGAGAGCCTTGAAGCATCTGCAGCGCTTCGATTTCTCGGAAAGCGGACTGGTAGTCGTGGATTTCCTTGAGAGCGACGGTTAGGTCGTCGGAGAGACGACGGCCGCGGTAGACGTCGGCGTAAGAGCCGGAGCCGATGCGTTCCATGACTTTGTAGTTGGCGATTATCTCCGATCGGGTGTGGATGCTCCAACTCTTGGGTGGACGCTCCGTCCCCATCTTCGTCTCACTCACGTTGCAAACAATCGCTCTACACACGTTTATTTACTTCAACTTTTTTTTTTGCCATATTACTTTATTTCTTTTCTTGAGAAATATTACTACTTATTTGTTTTTGTTATACTCCTTCCTTTCCTTTCTAAGTATTACTTTTTAGAAAAAAAATTATTTCTTTTAAGTGTCATATTTTAATATTTAAGATTATCCTTAATCATTATAATAAAAAGAAGAAAAAAAAGTTAAATATTATAGAAAAATAATTATTGTTTAAAAAGTAACCATAATCATTATTTTTTTTGTATATGTAAAAAATTAAAAAGTGACTTAAAAAGAAACGGATGGATTAATAATTAAGAAAATTATTGGTGAGATAAATTATTGGTGATGTATAATTTGGTGATGACAAATTTTAAATAGTCAAATTTAAAATAGTAATGGAAAATTATTGGTGATGTATAATTTGTCAAAGATAGAATAGTAATACCAATTATTTATTTAGTATAATAATAATATTTCTATTAATATAAATACTCATTTGGTAAATGTAAAAAACACATCTATTTTACTTTGAAAGATTGAAGAAATATCATTTTTCTTACTTGTTCATTTTCTCTTAGTTGATATTATAAACCTATATCATCATATTAGTTTCATAAATATTAACTAAGTTAGATTCGAATATCCAATTTTTCTAATACGTTATCAGGAAAGAGAATGATATTTCAATATATTATGTTGGCCATAAATGCTCGCTATTTATAGATACAAATGATATATATTTTGTATAACTAATTCATAGCCTCAAGAGAGCGCTTCTGTTGATTCCTAACATCATATATATATATATATATATAGGAATGGTGGATTACACCTTAAATATAGAAATAACTTATAACTATCTATTTTGCCCCCTCAAAATTGGGTCACCATCAATGACACAAATTTAGTATCTGAGAAGTTAAAATCCAGTTCGATGCAGAGGCTTTGTTAGAATATCAGCAGGTTGGTCTTTAGTAGAAATATGAGAGACTCGTATTTTTCCAATTTGAATCTTCTGTCTCACAAAATAATAATTTAAAGCAATGTGTTTCATTCGAGAGTGAAACACTAAATTGGAGCATAAGTAAGTTGTGTCAATATTGTCACAAACAAGAGTAGGTACGTGAGATGGTACTCCAAGTTCAATTAATATATTTAAGAACCACATGATCTCAATTGTAGTATTGGTAGCAGATATGTATTATGCTTCTGTGGATGATCTTGCAACTATTCTTTGCCTTTTTGATAACCATGAAACAAGATTTCCACCACAGTAAATTATGTAAGCTGGAGTACATGTTTTGTCATCATAATTACCTCCCCAATCAGCATCGCTAAAGGCTTGTGTTGCAACTGGTTTTTAAATCAGAGT